GACCTTGCCTCCAGCCCTGATATTTTTGTCAAGAGGGTTACTCCCTCCACCTCTTCACCTCTCCACCTCTCCACCTTTCCACCTCTCCACCTTTCCACCTCTCCACCTTTCCACCTACATTCCCACATTCCAAAAATTTTCTTTTTCAATAAGTTTCAAAATTTATTGAAATTTTTAAAAAATTCTTTAACAGATTTCATTTCAAAATCTGTTGAAGAAAAAAAATTTCATTAAATTTTAAAATTTGTTGAAGAATTTTTCAAAAACTTTAACGGATTTCGAAATTCATTAAAAACTTGAAAAATTCTTTAACAGATTTAAAAGTTTATTGAGATATTTTTTCTTCAAAAGATTTTGAAATCTGTAAAATTGAGGATGTAGGATTTTTAGAAATATAAGAGGTAGTTTTGGAACTTAAAAAAAAATGTGGGGGTGTAAAAAGAAACGTGGAGTGGTGTCGGGAGTACTCCTCTTTTTGTCAATTGTATAGGCGCATGTTGAAGTAGTTGCGCAATTGCTTCGCGCACCCCTTTAATTTCTACCTGTACTCTCTAAGCTTTTGGAATTTAAATTTTTCCCTTACGTGTTTTATTTGAAAATATTCTGCTTCGTGAAGACAGTAGTTTGTGATGGTTGCTGCAACGGGGAAAGATTTCTCAGACAGTAGTTGGTGGAGGTTTGGTGATTTGTCAAAGTCAAAGAAGGTCGTGATTAGTATATTCAATAAAGGAAAATATTTTGGAAATATAATTAAAAAAAAGTGATCCAGAATAGGTGTTTGAGGTACGAAATGTATTTTCGGATTCATGCTTTTGGAAGATAATTTAACGTTCTGGAAAGATCATTCCAGGAGTATTCAATTAGAGTTTCGGATTGAAAAATCCACGTCATTTCTAGAATAATTATGTTGAATTTGTTTTTTAGAAAAATATTTCCGAAATAAGTCTTTGCTTATTTAAGCTGATTTACTACTATAGCAAATTGAAAAACGAGTGAATATGTTATTTAATTTTGCTGATCACAAATGATTTTAACAAAACTTACAAAAATTGAAAAATTAGTTAATTTTCACCTTACATTTATATGGTTAGTATATTTATGTGATATAATAACATAATCATAGTCAACTATATTTCAATTATGTTATATTATGAAATGTAATAACCAAAAATAATAAAATATAATAATAAAGGAAATAAAAATAGTAATAATAATGAAATATATTAGAAAAAAATATGTTACATATGTTAAAAACAGTTCTTGACAAAAATATTTTAAATGTTGAATAATTGTTTGAAAAGTAAAAAAGTGACAAAAATATTTTAAATGTTGAATTATTGTTAGAAAAGTAAAAAAGAAAAAAAATACTGACGGTTAAAAACTACTATAAAATCTACTCCTATTTTATAATATCATACTTTAACAATAAAAAATCACCACAAGATATGTAATATTTTATTAATATTTATTAAAGGATTAGAACTGTAAAAAAAGAAAAAATATTTTTAAAGCTGTTAAATTCCAAAAAGTATTTATTAGTTATTTTTAATTAATTTTATAACTAATATTTTAATAGTTTGCTTTATTTAAAAGCACAGGCCATACAGCACAAAAATAATCTCCTTTTTAAGACTATATGACAAAGTCACGCGTCCACTCCTAATGCAGAAAAAGCTATATACTAAGAATACAGCTTTATTATTTGTTATTATGCAACTTGTTCATTTATTACAGCAAAAAACTAATTGAGTTCGAGCAATTTGATAAAATAACGAGACTCTGAGCCAATTTTAAGACTTTGAGCATTATTTTTCCATAAATACTGGTGGTCCTTCCCCATTATTTTACTCGCTTTGCATACTGCATAGTTATTTTTTCATTTGTGGTAATAAAATATTGATTGTTTAGCTATCTTTGTTTGAGGAGTCATCGAAAAGGAATGGCAGGAGGTTCATCGATGATGACTCATAGTCTTCGTCTCCTAGTTTTGTGTCGTCATCGATTTTAGAAACAATCAAGCCGGATGATGGTTTATCTGATGACTCAACTAGTGTAGATAGTGATAGGATCATGTGTGAGATCTCAACTAGTTTACGTTATGGTAGGTTGAAAATTGACGCCCGTAACGAAGGGGATGAATGTCAAGGCGCCTTGCTGATGATAATAGGTTATGAATTGGTGTCCCACGAAGTGGGTGAGTATGTCACCTGCTACCGTATGGAGAGGAACTTGGAGGATTGGACTAAATGAGTCTGTATTGTGCGAAATGAGAAGGATGCCTCATTGATCAAGCTGACAATTTATAAGGGGAACGAACATGTTTGTCATGGAAAGGGGAACAACACTGAAGATTTTTTTTTTCATGTATATTTTTTCCTTCGCCTAAATGTAGGTTCGGGTTCCCTTCACCAACTTCTAGGTAGTCATGTTGCGGGAAATGAACTTGGCTCCCACCCAGATACATCTGAACAGTTGGGCGTGCATGTAGGCATTCACGGTGATATGCACCGCTCTGGACCTCACCCCTACTTCGGCCAATTTCCTCCATTTCTTTCGCACTTGATCAATTGCCAAGGAGGGTTGGGTTTCTTTAATCTCCATGGAGGGGAAGTGGTTGTTCAAACCGTATGTGACCTCCTTCAAAGTGTTTAAGACTAAATATTTTAAGATTGTGATAAACGAGATTCGTCGATCAAAATTCTTTGAAAGTTATCTTTAAAAGGAGTTTTTATTATTTTAAAACTAAGAGTCCCTAGATATTTTAAGGTATCTTTAAAAGTGTTTATGATTAAATATTTTAAGACTAAGAGTCCTTAGAAGGTGATATCTTAGTTTAGATCTTCCATGACTCCGAGTGATATTAACGCAATCAGAATCATCAACTCTCATCGTCAATGTCTCTCTTATTTCATTCAATGTCTTAGATATGAAGAGTCGTGTATATATATATATATATATAATTAACTTAAAAAATTAATATCTTTTTAATAAATAAAAATATACTTATATGTTAGTGTTTTGAATGTAACTAAATAAAAATGCATCTAAAATATTTACTTATTGAAAGTTATCTTTAAAAGAAATCTTTATTATTAAAAAAATATGTGTATTTAAATTGTTACCTACTATAATTTACGAAGTTTTGACTGCTTTTAAAGTGGTATTGAGGGAAGAAAAGTGACAAGGACTTCTTCGTAAAAATTATTAAAAGACGAAATTGTTAGGACTAATAATTTATTGTTTCTAAACATTTTAAACGAAAGTTTATATAATAAGACGATTTTCAATTAAATCAAGTCATTTTGACTCATAATGATTTGTGCATAGTTTTTCAAACTAAAGTCATAACAGGTTATACATTACTTTTATTATGAAACCAAGCTTCGCAAACTTAGTTACTAAACTTAACAAACTTTTGCTTGCACGATAGGAGCGTCCTATAAGATACTTTGGTCTGAACATAAATAAATCTATGCAGAATTTGTTGATTTTCTTTTTAGTAATCTATGCAGGGATTTTAATTAATTAATAATAGTTTAGTTTGTTTACCCTGAATAAGACATGTTTGTTAATTTCAAATAATAATTTAAATTTTCTATTTTAGCCAGGAAATTATATGAAAAAATATTTTTATTTTGTATAATTAAATGTTATAATAATAAATGGTTTTATCTACAATTTATAACAAAAATGTATAAATTATATTTTAGATTTAGAATCAATCATTCAACTTGTGAATTCTAGGTTATTTTTAATTATTGAAATGATTTAAAATTAATAAAATTAAATTTAAAAATAATGTATAAGGGATTGCATCGAAAGAATTAATTAGTTAATAAGATTAAATGTACAAATAAGTTGAAAAAATTATCTAGTGACATTGAAAAAAAGCTGTCTATTGGATTGGCGTATAAATGTGTATTTTATTTTTAATTAAAATCCCTGCATAGATTACTAAAAAGAAAATCAACAAATTCAGCATAGATTTATCTATGTTCAGATCAGAGTATCTTATAGGACGCTCTTATCGTGCGAGCAAGTTTGGCAATAGAGGAAAAGCTTGTTAAGTTTAGTAACTAAGTTTGCAAAGCTTGGTTTCATAATAAAAGTTAGGTTTAATTGCTTGTTTTGTCCCTAGTTTGGCTGCAACGTGTCAAGTTAGTCCACACTTTTAAGAAAGTTTCAATTACGTCCAAACTTGGTTTAAAAGTGTCAATTTCGTCCAAACGTAGTAAAATTTGCTTCAATCAAGTCCCTTCCGTTAAATCCACATAAACGGACGTTAATTCTTTTTCTCTCTCCTCTGTTGCTCTGCTCCTCTCCTCTGCTCCTCTGCACAACAGCAGACCCTCTCTTTCTTTTGAATATAATCCAAGCACCAAAATGATAAAAAAAAAGGAAAAGTATAATCCTACATTAACATGTCAGGAAATTTTCACTCAGTCCTAGTTAGCATGATTTAAAAAATTACAAGAAAATAAAAGTGAAGTATCATGTTAAGTAACGGCTAGCCATGCCCATGAATGGAATTTATACAAATTCATGAGTGAAGTATCATGTTAAGTAACGGCTAGCCATGCCCATGAATGGAATTTATACAAATTCATGCAGTAGAATACCATTCTGCAATCTCAGCCGAAAGATGGTGATTTGGTAAAATAATCACTGATTAATCAGAGTACTTCTAAAAATCATCACAGATTATTAATTAGAGTACTTCTAAAAATCATCACAGATTATTAATAAGAGTACTTCTAAAAATCATCACAGATTTTATTAATCAGAGTACTTCTAAAAATCATCACAGATTATTAATCAGAGTACTTCTAAAAATCATCACAGATTGCAGAGCAATATTAGACTCTAGCTTAAAATGACAACAGTATTTAGGGAAAACAAGTTATCAGGATTAGGCCACCGTGGCCTGAAAGTACAAAAAAGCATCCTTAAAGAATAATGTGAAAAATAATATTAGCTATAAAGTAAAAAAAAAAACTGCAGAGATATCAGATAGTAGTGCATGATTAGGAATCATCGTTCATGTTGCAGAATTGATGTATAAATAACATCATATATCACTGCATTTAAAAATAAACTTATTAAACTTAAATAATAAACAATGGCATAGAGAAAGTGCTTCAGAAAAATAGAAAGAGAGGGTCTGCTCTTGTGCAGAGGAGCAGAGCAACAGAGGAGAGAGAAAAAGAATTAACGTCCGTTTATGTGGATTTAACGGAAGAGACTTGATTGAAGCAAATTTTACTACGTTTGGACGAAATTGACACTTTTAAACCAAGTTTGGACGTAATTGAAACTTTGTTAAAAGTGTGGACTAACTTGACACGTTACAGCCAAACTAGGGACAAAACAAGCAATTAAACCTAAAAGTTATTATCACATATTATGACTTTAGTTTGAAAAACTATGCACAAATCATTATGAGTCAAAATGGCTTTTATTTAATTGAAAATCGTGGTAATTATATAAACTTTCGTTTAAAATGCTTAGAAACAAAGAAATTATTAGTCCTAACAATTTCGTCTTTTCATAATTTTACGAAGAAGTCCTTGTCACTTGTCTTCACTCAGTAAAATTAACTATCCCATTTTTGTAATTTAAGAGATAAAGTACACATTTTTGTAAATTTTTCCTAGGACAACTCTGTTATATCTGGTCAGATATAAATGTGCCACTTCACCTTCTTCCATAGCTCACACCAATCACAACAAGAGAAGTATTTTGAGTTTCAGAGAACCATAATTCTCCTATGGCGACGAACTTTAGTTCCATCCCCGTAATTGGTAAACCCCCTTTCCACCATAACCCTCGTTATCGTTACTTTCATCTTTTCCTCAATTCTATCTTACGTATTCATACTCTTAAATTCTGTTTTCGTTTGATAACATCTATATACTTTGGTTTATCGGAATTTATCTAAACATGTTAGGATGGCATTTGCTTCGGATGGTGTGAAGTGGAGAATTCGGGAGTAAAATATTCAGTTTAGAACTCAGAAGGAACATTTTGTATTTTGGTGTGCTAGGTTCAGAATCTGATAACTAAGAATAGTTTTTTATGACGGTGATGCAGATATTAGTCCACTTTTGGCTAAGGCAGATGATCCCAAAATGGCCGAGGACCCTGGTGTACTCGAGGTTGTAAGACAATTGGATAAGGCTTGTACAGAGGCAGGCTTCTTCTACGTGGTATTTGTCTGTTGCATCTATTAACCCCTTTTCTCTTCTATGGTTTCTTTACGCATTTCGATGCAAGAGAGCTTTGAAGCAAGAAATTCTTCCACAATCATATGTATAAACTCTTTTTTTAAAGGAACTTATTGCAGACTTTTTTTTTAAATTTCTCTTTTATCGCATTATATATCTTACAATTCTATCAGTTTTTTTTCTCTTTACATATATTTCTCGGCATTCATGAAAAAGTTTCTAGTTATTTTTTTATATTTTGAATTGAAAGTCAATTTGATACAACCTTGCATAAATTTCAGTGCGTCTGCTACAACTTCTTCTAAGAATAAGATGTTTTGAACTTCATGTAGATTCCAAATATAATAAAATAGTGGTTCCATTGCTAGAGTACGACATATAGCTTATATATCTAGAAGATTGAAATGATAAAAGAAATCTGATGGCTCACAGTAGATGATTATACCTTTGATTTCGGATACCTAGGTTAATTTGATAAATAACGTTTATGGAAGCTTAAACCAAACTATATTGCTACCAATAGGCTTTGCTCTGAACAGAATTCTTCAGTTTAACTCAAAAATTGACTACTCTCTCATTTCTTGAGAGTCTGTTTCGTGAATAGGTTTATTGTACTAGTAATATTGCATAGAATATTAATATCAATCCATGAATGTTTCATCTCCATTTATATCCCTGCGATCAAGTTGTTGCTACTGAAAATATGGCACTTAGGTCATTTTGTGTCTAACGTTCAAACCCTGCGATCCTTGATTGACAGAAAGGACATGGTGTTCCGGAGACTCTCCTCAAAGAAGTTAGAGATGTAACGCGCGGATTCTTTGAACTTCCATATGAAGAAAAGACAAAAATCCAAATGACTCCGGCTGCTGGATACAGGTTTGCTTGGTTTACGTCGATTTACTTTGTATATAAGTTTCAGTTCCGATCATGAGGTTTATGCATCAAATTTCTACTGATAGCAACTTGATGTCTGATGCAGAGGTTATCAAAGGATTGGACAAAATGTAACCAAAGGTGCACCTGACATACATGAAGCTATTGATGTAAGTCCTATAGTTACTTGGCATAAAAGAGGTTGACACCCTTACAAAATTATAACCACTTGTAAGTATTTTAATACAAATTACTAATACATTATTATATTGTTAGAGTAGGTTGTAAATTAAATGTATTTTGTTTTGTATGGTTTCAAAGTATAATTTTGGTTACGTTTTTTTCGGGTATACATGTCACAGAACTTCCACGTTGAAATTTTTTAATATCATTTGCATTAGGCTCATCTCAGTGCAATTTATAGTCAAGTATAATTTTATTTCCCTAAAAGTGGCAACCTGAAACTCTTGCGTAATATAGCTCATGGATCAATCAAGGTATTTAACATACATGGTCTGATTTCGTCAATATTTCATTTTGGCTTAATAGGTTATTTCGTCCCCAAGTTAAGAGTTGAATTTCCGTTTAGTACCCGGTTTTAAAAATGCTTCTATTTCATCTCAAAGTAGTATAAATTGTATCAATTAGGTCCCTTCCGTTAAATTCACATAAACGGAGTTAACTCTCGTTGACGAATCTGTACTTTTTCTTCTCTCCTCTGCATTTCCTGCCATGTTCCAGCTTTTATCATATTCTGATATTTTGATGGTGGTAGGACTTCCAAACAAAATAGAGCACCGTTTGGGTCACAAGTTGGAAAAGATACAACTGAGAGAACAACACCAGACACACTATCCCATAAAGTGTTCTGTCCACAGACCCTAACCTCCACCCATGCACCATCATTTTCTTGAACAGAAATTGTATCAACCCAAAGAAAACCAAAAGCTTCAAGAATATGAGTACCGATAAACTCGTCTTCCCCCTTATCAATGCGTTGCTCTTCAACATGGCTCCAATCCCACACGAGTCTTCCAACACAGTAACAACACTCCAGTACATTATAGGTTGAGGCCCCAACGCCGTTCTCGTCGTAGATGACAGTCACTGTTGCTTCTTCTTTACCACCTAAATTATGGATTAAAAGATTACATGGTCCAAAACGTTAATGTAGAAGTGAATCCATGATTTGATAACAAATTTTGCAGGCATGGAGAAATTGGAAGGAGAGGAAGGCATTAAATATTGTTGATCCATCACTCAACAACAATTCACGGAATGAAATGCTGAGATGCATCCATATTGGGTTACTCTGTGTTCAAGAAAATTTAGTTGACAGACCGACCATGGCTACCATTATCCTGATGCTTAATAGCCATTCTCTGAGTCTCCCTATTCCTACCGAACCTGCATTTTATATGAACAGTAGAACTAGAAGCCAAAACTGAGATTGAAAATATCCAAAACTTTTTAACCGATTCCACATCACACCAACTAATCTCACAAATATCCAAAAATACCCTAGAATCTATGGTAGTTTGCTGTTAGAAAAAATATTCATGGCTAGAATATTTTTTTAATTAAAGAGAAGGAAAACAAGAAAGAAAATTAAGAAAAAAAAGATGAAAAATGAAGTTGTTTGAATTAAAATAGAATAAATATGAAGCAAAAATAAATAAATATTTCTAGTTGGTTTATTGAAACATGTGAAACAAATACTTTTTTGTTCTCTGTACTTTATGTTTTGTTATTCCTATGAATAATAAATCATGTGAAACAGATACTTTGTCTATGACATAAAACTAATAGTTTGGTACTTCTCAAGTTTGGGAACGACGGTCATGACCTTGGAGAAAGTGACCTCTCTTGTGGTGTAGATTGAGGCGATGGTATATACCACTGCAGAGGTGGAGAGAGGGAGAAAATGAGGAGGAAAGTGAACTAGATGAACTTGAAGAGCATGAAGGTGGTCCATTCCGAAGAGAGCATGTTGGAGAAGGTGTGGTATTGGGGTGTGCCTTGTGGGGTTTCCATCATTTGTTGTGTATTTTTGACGATCTTGCCGAAGAGGATGTTGGAGACTTCGATGTGGATGAGGAAGATGAATGAGAGACGGAGGATTAGAGTTAGGGTGATCTTGATGAAATATCTTTCTCCATGCAAATATGAGAGGAGAGAGAAGAAAAAGCTGAAACATTGCAGGAAATACAGAAGAGAGAGAAGAAAAAGTGCAGATTCGTCAGTTGTAGTTAACTCCGTTTATGTGAATTTAACGGAAGGGATCTAATTGATACAATTTATACTACTTAGGGATAAAATAGAAGCATTTTTAAAACTGGGTACTAAACGGAAATTCAGCTCTTAACTTGGGGACGAAGTAACCTATTAAGCCTTTCATTTTCTTCTCTGATTGGAGTCTGGCTTAGCTGATCCAGAATTCACTCTGATTCTGGTGATTCTATAAAGCAACAAATGACCCCTTTAATTTCCTTTAACAGTGCTATAGAGAAGTGACCAAGGGCATGTATGGAGATCTGGGCAAAACTATGGAAGGAAGCAACCAGTGGTACTTAGAAATAGGGATTTTCTGTTTATTACTGCATGTGTTCCTCCACAAACATACTTCAATATTTAGCTAAAAATCAGCTCGAATTTCATATATACTTTTAATCCTGAATTTCTCATTAACTTGGAAGCTTCATTCAATTGGATTTATAGTCTATGGATACTTTAGCATGATTGATGCTCTTCTCTGATCTGGTTCTGTTACTCTAGCATTTGATTTACTGGACAAGGGAGTTGGATTTTGGAGTATTAGCATTCAGAAAGAAGACTTTCTGTTGCCAGATACTTACATCATTCGGTTTGACCCTCTTCAGTTTTTGTGTTCACCATGCAGGCCACAATATCCTCAACCATTCAAAGTTCTTATGGAGGAGTATATTCGTCTCTGCACAGGCATGTATTTTACTCATCCAC